GGTCCCGGTCCGGTACGGGCGCGACACTTAGGGTTGCGGTCCGTTGCCGGACACGAAAAAAGACAAAAAAAGGAAAAAAAACAACTGAGTGGTTTTAGCCAAAAAGAAAAAAAAAAGACGATTTGGATGGACACCCAATGACCTAAAATACACTCTCCCCCCCTTTTTTTCCTCTATGAAAAATAGAAAGAACTAAAATACAGTTTCTTCAGAGGAAGTAAAACAAATACACGAAGGTAAAACTGCGGGGTGGGGGTGGGGAGAATGGGAGGCCGCTGTGCACAAGGAGGGCAGGTATTTATACTGAAACTCAGGACTGAACATTTGACAGCTAAACGTGCTCCTTTCCACTGCCTTGGGCTGCCAGAGCCCCGCGGCACCACAGACTATGAGGAGTCCAGACGTACGTGGCGGGAAACGAAACCACAATTTCTGAAGAACCACAAGTTTTGAGACGCAGAAATAAGTACATTTGATTTAACTTAAAACTTGCAGAGCCCATCTGCTCCCCTTCATCCCCACAGCCCCTGGCTTATTTTGTCCATCCCAGCTTCTCAGCCCCTGGTCTGGGCAACTCCGGAATGCACCTGGATTTACGTTTCAGAAACTTTATCCCGGCAGCGGAACAGAGGGCTTGAAGGAGGCGAGGCTAGACACAGGACAAAACCCTTTGGGCTCTCCATTCCTTGTCAGATAGCGTTTCAACTCCTTTCTTAGAGGACTAGAGAAGGCCACAGCTCCTGCCACTGCCCATCCGCCTTTCCTCCAGCCCTAGAATTATCTGCTCTCCCCTCAATGCCCCATCCTGTCCTCGTCCTCAAAAGCCGGAGGAGGGAAACGGGGGAGGGGCGTCCCGGAGGCCCCGCCCACGAAATGGCACGCTTGCGTCCTCGCTGCGGCGGCGGCCATCTTTGATTCGGGCAGCCCGCCCGCCTCCCGCCAACTTCTGTAGGGTTGCATGGAGGCGCAGAGGCGTCCCCCAAAACCCGTGGCGGGCCTGTGCTCGCGAGACCAACGGCCCCAGCCCCCTACTCCTATCCCTCGGCCTCCACGTAAAACCTTGAGCAAGTTCTAGTTCCCTGCTCTTTGCTGCTTGGGTGACTTTGGGAAGGCACCTGTTTCCTTATCTGTAAAGTGGTAGTTGAACACCGATCCCCCCCACCCCACCCCACCTCCTTCACCATACCTATTGTTTGGGCATTGATGATACATTCTCAGTATAAAACCTGGCACGTAGTATGTGTTCCTTAAATGTTGTCTACGAGCCCTTGCTGTATTTGCGGGGTGCCTTGTAGCAACCACCATTGCCTGCTGCGCCTCCTTCTCCCCTCTCCACTATTGCGCAGCTGCACACGAACTCTTTGAAGACCGTGTGTGGGGGCAAGGGGTTTGGCAATCCGACCCCAGGGGAATGAAAGTGAAACTCATGAATCCTCTTGGACTTGCATGTGACCATTTTGGAAGGGTGTCAGAAGCCCACTGAAAAGACTTTGGAACATTTCAACGCCCCCATGTTTGTTATTTTTATCACCTCTGGCTGCGTCCCCATAGGGACTCCCATGCAGCACAAAACTCCCAGAATGGAAAGCCCTGTGTGTGTGCTGGCTATGGGGACATTAGGGAAGGGGGAGCTGGGACATTTGTGTGCCAGGCAGAGCAAAGCGTGGGAGAGGAGTATGGGGAGACCGGCCTTTCAGGCCAGCGTGGATGGCCCCAGGGAGGAAGAGGAATTCAGGCCAGGCCTGCCTGAGGTGGCCTGTGGGGGTCCTCAGACACATGCAGCTGCTCCACCAGCTCTGCAGCCAAGGCCCAGCAGTTTGGGGTCCCAGACTTCCCAAGGGGGAGGGAAAATGCCTGGAACCAAGGAGATGAAGGGCTAGAGAGTGAGCGGGGAGGGGCCAAGGCCTTCCAATCACTGGGGCCTGGGAGTGCGGGAGGACCACACTCAGCCCTCTACAGGATTCTGGAGGCCCAATGTGAGATCTTATTATCATCAGTCAGGTACATGCCAGGTATGCCCAGGTTCTCACAGTCCAGCCTGATGGAAAGAGAGGTAGCAGAGGATACAAAAATTACCAGGTGGGCAGAGGGGATTGCACAGTTTATTACCAAACACACTCAGAGGATGGGTAGTGGCCAGCGGGCTCTATCTGCACCCCCTCCCTGCATTTGGCTTAATCAAGAAATTCTCTCCCCTTACCCCCAAACCCCTAGGCTGTGCTAGATAGAGAAGGCACTGCCCCCCTCAGGAGGGGCCTAGGCAGCTGAGGAGCATGGAGGGTGGGGTGGGGGGTAGCATTCAAGTATTCACAGTTCTCCGGTCCAAACCCCCAGATTACACTGTGCCCAGGCTATGAGGGAGGATCCCACCTCTGGGATTCCTAGTGGTGTTGATGGCCCTTCTCCCACTCAGAACCCTCCAGATGAACTCCCTACCCTTTTTCCCTGTAATAGCAAACCAAGTCCTAAGCCCTGTAGTCTGGGCAAGGGTTTTCACCTGTAGTGAATGGGTGGGAAGAAGTGGTTATAAAGGGGAGAGTAAAGGAGAGAACGAGAGACCTTGGGAGGCAGGCGTGGAGAGTCTTGATGGACAAGTTCAGACAGCTTGGTCTGCACCGCCACCCCCACCCCACCCCCACTTCAGGTCCAGAATCCCTGAGAGTCCAACCACAAAGGCTGTATAGGGTGGGGGAGTGGGAGCAGGGGAGAGCTGAGCAGGACCTCAGTCCCCCACCCCCAACCAGTCCTGCTCCTGGGGAACATGATGCTCAGGGAGAGCCAGGACCAGGCTTGAGTCCCAGCTCTCAAGCTCTCAACTTCCAGAATAGCTGAATCCTGGGGAACAGGGTAGGCCTGCTGACCCCATGCCCCGGATGTCCTGGTCTTAGGCAGAGTGATGGGAATGGGAGGGGGGTCTCCCAAGGGCATTATAAAAAACTAAAACCATTAAAAACTTCCTGGGAAGAAGGAGTTTCTTGTCTCCCCAAGTTATCACTCTCCCCATGCTCAGCAGACAGGGCTAAGGGGGTCCCAGAGAGCTGAGGGAGGAGGCTACAGCCCTGGGGCCCAGAGAGGGGGCCTGTTAGCACCATGCGATGTGGGGGCACCTCTGCAGCCTGACTGACCCCTGGGCAGGGGGCCTTCTGAAGCTGGAGTGCACACTTGCTAAAGCTTCTGTACTCTTGTTGGGGGACCCCTGCAGGGGACAGTGGGAGGGAGAAGACTTGGCCTAAGTCCAGGCAGGGTCTCAGCTGAGACCCCAAAGGGCACCGCTGGGAGTCATGACTTGAAGAATCTTTGTACCACAAACTGGCCCAACAGAACCACAGCCAGAACCACCAGCACGTTCAGGATGGGGCCATTGCCCAACTCCAGGGCTGCCGCCTGCCGGGAGAAATAGAGTGGTCACAGAGGGGCTGGCAGAATGTGAAGGCACCCGGGGACCAGGCTGGGGCTGGGGGAGGGCAGCCCCACAGCAGGGAGGGTGCTGCAGTCCTAGGCACTCACCCAGCCGCCTCTCTGTGCGATCCACCGCGCAATGCAGTGATGCAGCGTGAAGTCGGCCACGAAACGGGTCACCTGGCCCAGGAAGCCCCTCAGGCCACGCTGGTAGACGTATAGGGCCAGGCGGTAGCCGAAGCCAAGAAGAGCCACCACACGGCCCCAGTTGATGCCACTCTCAAAGAGGCTGTGGGCAGAGCATCCATACCATCAGTGGAGGGCCCCAGGAGGCCCTTCAACCTGCCTCATCCCACCCCTGGACCCACTCAGCCCCTCCCTGCCCCGCACCCCACCCCTCCCAGCTGGAAAGCTAAACGACTTAGCTATGAGTCAAGGCCATTGAGGCCGCCCAGGCCTGGCCTTGATTTAGAAGAACTTGGGCTCTGTAAAAGGAGAATCAAAGGGTATGGCCCCCAAGGCTGCAGGAGCACGGGGGTGCAGAGGGCAGAGTGAGCAGTTGGAGGCAGCAGGGGGATTACCTGTGGGCGTTGCCGCTGGCCTGGCAGCCCGAGGGACAGCAGAGAGAAAAGGACAGAAGAGATTAGGATAGGTCTCAGAATCACAGTGGCCTGGGCATTGGGGGGATGGCCTCTGAAGATGTGGGCTGGACATTTCAGCTCTGAGCACTAATTTTAAATCTATCACCTACTGCTACCTTCACCTCCAGCTTCAAATCTACCCTGACACTGACCTCCCGAACTCTGGTGGTAACCACAGCTAACACCTTCTAAGTGTGGACAAAGTTTATTTTCCATATTTTACAGACAAACTGAAGGCTAGGAAGTTTCACGAAGCCAGCAAGTGGCAAAGCTGTGATTTGGACCGAGGTATTTGGTCTCTTTAACCACTATACCAGATCGCCTCTTGAGTGCCAGATTATAGCAACTGGAAGTGTTTCTCTGACCTGGCAGATGTTAGCAACCTGACTATCTTTGTGTGAAATGGAGATCCAAATTGGAACCACAAAGAATAGCTGTGTCCATCCTAGGCTGGGGAGCTCTGGGGGACATCCCCACTCCAGGGCCCCTCTAGAGTCCTAATCTAACCAGCCAAGTCCTTGATATCAGAGCTCAAAAGAGCTGTGACCTTATGCACAGCACATGAGGAGTCTGGGACCCAGAAAGGAGAAGATAGTGGCCCAGGACCATATATGAGTTCACAGCAGACACTGGGATAGCACACATGTCACCTGACATTGACAGAGAAGCGTGTGTCTCCCCACACCGGGGAGCTCATCACACAGGCAGGGCACAGATGGTAACAGGACAGCAGAGTGATGGGAGCCAGGTGGGGAGGCGGCTGGGGTACCTGGAGGCAATCTTAGTGAAATACTCATAGGCGTTCTCTGCTGTGGGCTGCAGTCGCTCCAGCATGGTCTGGAACTCCGAGTCATAGCGTCGATTGATGTCGTCCCCAATGATGGCGAGCTGCCGACCCACCTGCCCCATGGTGCTGTAGGAGCAGGAGGCAGGTGGGTGAGCAGACAGATGGGCAGTCAGAGCTGGGGCCTGGGCTCATGGCACAGGGGTCTGTCTGAGGTGCCCCTGGCCGTGTGCACCCCTCCTTGGGGGTCCCTGACAGTGTTCTCAGACATGAGGTCTCAGTTCAGGCACAAGGGCAGGCATGTGCTAATGAGGGCTCAAGGTCCCAGTTAGGGTGGGGAGCCCAAAATGAAAAGGGAGCAACAGTAGAAGGACAAGACCCCCCAGGCCTCCCCAGATCCCAGGACCTGCACAGAGTCCCCATGTGAGCCTCCGCCTCCCTGAAGATGTCCCTATGGGCCCAGGGGGCTGTAGCTCACCTGCTAGGTTCTAGAGGCAAGGTCACCATCTCTGGGTCAGTTGGGGCAGCCTCCCCCTCGGACTCCTGCTCCTGCTGGTGGCGGTAAAAAACGTAGCTGCGGAAAACCTCCTCTGTGTCCCGGGCTACCTGCTCCTCTGAGGATCAAAGCCAGGAGTCAGGGAGGGAGGGCTGGACCCCAGCAGCCCTGTGCTTTGTAGGTGGCTCACACTTCCTCAAGGCCACAGCTGTTCTTGCCCGTGGACAGAGATGGCCTTACACCTTAGCTGACACCTAACGCTTCTCTGTGCAGGGTGTTCTTTGGGCATTTTTCACCCGGTCCTCACAGTAGCCCTGTGAAGTAGGTGATTCCCAGTTTACAGATGGGGAAACTTTGGCACAGGGTGTCTAAGTAACATGTACAAGGTCATATGCTAGAACAAGCAGTGGGGCCAGGGTATAATCCCAGGTTAATCCCAGGCATTTTGGCTCCCAAGCCTATTTTCGTGTGTACAAGGGACCCAGCCCTTAGGGTTTAGGGAATGTGGGAAACAAAATTTAAAAGTATAGCCTCAGGCCCAGAAAAGTCACACAGGGAGATAGTGACAGACCTGGGACTTGAACCCCAAGTCCAGGGAACAGCCCCCAGTAGGCTGTGAGCTCCAGGCTTCCCTGCTGCCCCCTTGGAGGTGGGAAGGAAGACAGCCATCCTACTTCCTCCCCCAAGTCACACGGTACTGTGTTTAGCAGACCTGATGTGATGACAGGCCAGTCCACTTCCTTATTCCTCCTACTGCAGGGACATGGCAGCCGTGCCACATGCTTCTACCCTCCTCTCTCGCCTCTGACCCCACCCCTTGCCCTGGGGTCCCACCATGCCCACCTTCATGCTTTCTCCCTGGCCTCTCCCAATCTCTGGACCCTCCTCCAGTCTTAACCTTGACTGCAGTTCCAGCTTCAGAGCCCCACAAGCCCCCTTCCTTGGGTGGGTGAACTGAGGCAGGGGAGCCTGCCCCTAAGTCCTGCTTGGCCCTGCCCACTTCTGTCTCTCCATCCTCACGGAAAGCCCTTGTGCTTATGGGATGGGTGAAGGGACAGGAAGACCCTTACCTGAAGTGGAGGATGGGGTAGGCTCTTCACACCCCTGCCTGGGAGGCCCCGGGCCTTGTCCGGATGCCATTTTTCAGGTCTCAGTTGAGGACAATGTCAGCCTATGGGGATGGGTGAGAAAAAGCAGAAATAAGGATGAGCAGGGGCCTCTGTCTGGGGACCTGAGAGAGGTGGCCATGGCCACACAGGAGGTAGGAGTCCCCTGCTCCCAGAAAAGCCCACAGTCCTCTGGGACTTTTTTCAAATTCAACCACCTTGAGTCCCAGTGGAGTCTGCTGGGAGGAATCAGAACTTATCAAGCAAGTCACTGGCAACCCTACAAGGGAGATGGATAAGAAAGGTGAGGCAGCTAAGGACAGACTAAGATATCTGCACCCGTGTCCTCCATGCAGCCAGGTCCTCCAGGTGGGTGTGGCTTCAGCAGTGCCCAGTGGCCCTCAAGTCCCGGTTTACGTCCCTGCTGGATGAGTGAGGCTGGTTTCAGAGACTGGGGGTTCTTTCAGCTGTTCCCGGGGCCTCCCGCCCAGCTGGCACACACCTACCGCAGGCTTGCAACCCCCTGCCGTTGACCCGTGAAGGCCATCCTCAGAGGCCCCACTTCTCCTTGGCCAGCCAGAACACACCTGTTTCCCAACTCAGGCCTATTAGCTGCGAACACTTCCTGACAGCCAGGTTGCACTACCACACTACCACTTGCGAGCACTCTCCGGGTGTTGGGCATTGAAAACACATTAACCCAGTGAGGTAACTTGCATATCATGGCCACTTTACAGGTGAGAAGAGTGAGTGAGGCACAGCCAGGTCAGTGCCTGAGGCCACACAGCTTGTCAGGGAAAGTCAGGTTGGTTGTCTGAATCTCCATAAGTCTGTGCACTCAACACTTATTTAAGATTGATTTTCCAGCCTGTGGACCTCAGTAGGCATCCTTTTTCCAGGGCAACTTTCCCCATTTCCCTCCTGCCCTTACCCTCCCTGCTCCTGCCTAGCAGCAAGCTGAGGGAGCCCTCACGAGTCAGGGCCTTCCTTACCACACCCGCTGGCCTCAGTCTCCCTCTTTGCCCAATCCTGGCTGCAGCCCCATCTGCTATGACCCAACAGGCAGAGGGAGAATTTCCCGGATGTGAGCTGTTTCACTTTCAGTTTGCACCCCTTCCAGAGTATCATTTCCCCCAAAGCTGCCTCCATCACCCTGGCAGGAAGCGCCCCCTCCTATCCCTCGCCTGCCCCGCTTCCTCTCAGGCCCAGGATCACTTTCGAAAGTGCTCCAAGAGCTCTCTGAGAAGGGCTGGGGGAGGGCTGGGCCACCCGTGCACTCAGCTCTCCACCCCTCCACCCACTGAGGGACAGGGACAGGGCAAAGGCAGACCCTCATCTCCTCCACCTCTGGGAACCAGGCCTCTTTAAAACAGACCTTTGCCTGGCACACCCCCAGCCCGGCAGCTCCTTCCCAAATAAGATGCCCTTCCCTCTCCTCCAGTCCCCAAAACCTGACACCCCAAGACAGCAGGGACAGAGGATGCTGGCTGCACCCCAACTCCCTCCACCACCACCCCAGAGGCTCATTGCTGGGGAGCAGGGAGAGCCTCGGAACAGCCCCCAAGACCAGCAGCTTGTGCCGCTCTGGGCCTATCCCTGCCCCCCGTTCAAACGGCCTAACTTCCTGGTAAGGGGAATCTCCACCCCTCCACTCCACCTCACTAATCCCCACCCCCACCCCCATCCCCCACACTCCCCATCCCCGGCTTCCTGGGCCAAGAATGCATGTTCCCCACGGAGGAATGCCTGGCCGGGCCCTAGACCCAGTCTAGGGATCCTGGGGCAGCAGGAAGCGCTGTGAAAATTCCCTCCCTGCTCTTGACCTTGGCTCTGACCTCCACTCCCGTCCCCCAGACTGCTAAAGGACCCCGTTCTTATTATTCTCTGGTATCCAGGGCTGGGGTGAAAGGGGATGCTGGCTGAGGGGCAGCCAGAGGGAGCCCTGGCAGGACCGGGCCCCCAGCAGAGGATGGCAGACCTGCCCAGGCAAGGCTTGAGGCCTCCCATCCACACCCAACTCCTCGGAGGGCTCCCTGCCCCACCCTGGCCCTGGGGCTGCCAAGGAGGATGAGCAGGACCTTCCCAGCTTACCTGCCAGGACCCTGGCCCAGGCCCAGGTTGGGGGCTCAGGAGGACTGAGGCCGGAGACCCCGGGGGGGGGGGTGCTGGCGGCTGCTCCCCAGGGCAGGGTTCACGGCCTGCCTTCCACGAATGGGTGTCGGTGCATTCTCAGTGTCTGGATGTAGCCTCTGCTTGCCCCAGCGCGGTCCAGGGCCCGCGCAACTCCAGCGATCATAGAGGTGCCGGCGGCACCCGGCACCAATCAGCTCCCTCTAGAGGAAGTTGCCCTGTGGCCGCCGGATGCACGGGACTGCAGCCAGGAGGAGCGGTCTGGACTGGCCAGGCCCCTGAGCAGCTCCCACCCCTGCCCGCCTCCTCATCCGTGATTTATCCCCAACTTCCATCAATCAGAACCAATAAAACCCCCGGGTGGTTCTTAAGTACCACTGCATGCAGTACACTTTAGCAACCATTGTCTCGGTGAATCTTCTCCACAGCCCCTGGCAGTAGGTTCCTGCCTCCCGCTGAGTCCTGGCAGGTAAGCTGGGAGGGTCCTGCCCATGCTCCTCAGCAGTCCCAGGGCCAGAGTCAGGCAGGAAGCCCTCCAGGAGCTGGGTGGGGAGGAGGAAGCCTCACGCCTTGCCTGGACAGGTCTGCCATCCCCTGCTGGGGGCCTGATTGTGCCAGGGCTCCCTCTGGCTGCCCCTCAGACAGCATCCCCTCTTGCCCTGGCCCTGAATGCCAGAGAATCCTAAGAACAAGGTCCTTTATCAGTCTGGGGGATGGGAGCTATCAACTGCACCCATTTTACAGATGAACAAAATGAGGCTCAACTGGTTTAAAGAACTTTCCCAAGGTCACTGGGCTGGTTTAATAATCAGATCTGAGGCTGCTCAGTTAGCTCAACTAGGTTAGAGTACAGCCTTGTAACACCAAAGCCAAGAGTTCGGAGCCCTGTACCAGCCAGATGCCAAAAAAAAAAGCCTTAGCTGCTGGGTGGAATACTAACACTAAATTGAGATTCAACCTGCAATTCAGACCTATGCACTGGGCACTTTGGTGGTCTCTGGAGATTTGAAATCCTAAAATGAAAGGCAGGTAAACAAGAAAGGAAAACTCAGTGGGGCTGGTGCTACCACCTGGACATGTGCAAGCTGGATGCTAAGAGGGGAGAGAAGAGGGGAGACAGATACTATCTGGCCTCAGGGAATGTTCTCAAGGACAGAACAAGCCCAGGAAGGACAAATGTGTGCAAAGTCCTCAACAGCCCCCTGCCCCATTCTCAGAGTCTGGTTCCCTCCCAGCCCCCCTCGTCCACTCCCTGCCAGGCCGCCTGGGGCTCTCACATCTCCTCCTCCAAGTCTACGCGCCCCCTGCCCCCAATGCCCCAGCCTGTCCTCCCCACCCACCCCATGCCTGCTGGAGCCTCATCAACTACGTCCAGCCAGTCTGACCCCCTGCCCTCCTTCCCTGCTTCATCAACGCCCTGCTCTTTCTCCCTCCAGCTAGTCTCCTCCCACCACACCCCCACCCCCACCTGAGCTTTGCCTACTAGAACTCCTGGAAGTTTCCAACTGTTCTTAAGCAGTTGGTGCTGTGGTGGTGGTTGGTGCAGCTTCTCCCTTGAGTAAGGGTCTGTCTCAGGATGGAGGCCCCATCTCCAACCCCTTGATCACGAATTTTGGGCCGCTTCTCCATGTTCAGCTTTTTCTGTAACCTGGTGGGGAGCAAAGGCAGCCTGAGGGAATGCTAGAGTCAGACTGCCTGATTTCAAATCCCAACTCCACTATGGCAAGCTGTGTGATAGTGGCAAGTTGCTTGACCTCTCTGTGTCTCAGTTTCCGCATCTATAAAATGGGAATACGATAGTACCTATCTCTTAATGTGGTTGCAAGGATGAACTGAGCTGCTCTTTGTAAAGTGCCTAGAACTGTGCCTGGCACACAGGAGGCATTTGCTAAAGAAAACAAGGCAACCCCACCTTAGCTCAGGCCCCCCATGCCCCTGCCCTCCGAGGACTGAAACCCCCCCAACTGCTACCAGCCTGTCAGTGACTACTACCCCTTCACAGGAGACCTCAGGTTGGCCTCTTCCAAGGTGGGGACGACCCCCTGGAACCTCCTCCTCAGTTTGTACAAGCAACTTCAGAAATCAGCCAAGGGTGCTAGGGGGTGAGACCTGGGTAGGGTCCCGTGCCTGCATCTGGCTGGGCCACAGTATATGTGGCTTGAGCCCAGGAGGAGCAACCTTTTGGGAGCTGTTCTCTCCTGCCTCCTGTTTTATCTGGGGATGGGGGTGGGGCTGCAGGCTTGGGGTCCTGCTCAGTGACCTGGCACACCCTCAGTTACTTAAGGAAGGCTTGCCACATGAGGAGGAGGAAGAGGAAATGGAGGAAGAGGACAGCTCATTCAAGCTCTGTGCCCCAGGCATTGTCACCCTCCAGTTGCCACTGCATAAGACTTTTAGGTCTGCAGATATGGTGGGTAAGTGCCTCTGCCTCCCCTCCCCTCCTAAGTTGACCCCAGGCCCAGGAAGCTCAGCCATGCAATACTAGAATCTACCACCAGGTGGTGCCAGAGGACCTACGATGACCACTGGAGCTGTGGGACCAGCGTGTGGCTGGGCTGGAGGCCATGCTAGGTCCTCCGCCCTCAGGGTTTGGGAGACAACAAGGTGGGTGTTGTGGCAGGGGGTGGGGCTACTCAAGCACCACCCCTTCCTCAGCCCTGAAGCTGGTAACTCCTTTGGTGGCCACTTCCATCCCTGATTTTCCCATCATGTATTTCTGTGACAGAGCCCCAGAGGGCCACCTCTCCCAGTGCAGTCCCCATGCAGCCCCAGACGTGGAGAGGTAATAACGTAATATGATAAAAATCACTGTTGGCATTTACGTAGCTGTTACCGTGGGCCAGACCCTCTTCTAAGCACTTTTCATGAAATATCGCATTACAACTCCGAGGTAGGTCCTAATGTTATCTCCACTTTGTAGTGAGGAAATTGAGGCACAAGAAGTTAAATAACTTGTCCAACATCACACAGCTCGTAATGGGCAGAGCTGTGGCTTGAATGCAGGCAGTTTGGATTCCAGATCCAGGCTCTTGAGTCGGGGCTAGAGGGGATGCTCTCCCCAGAAGGTGAAGACAGACACTGTGTGGGAGGGAGCCTGTGGGGAGTGGGTTTCCTAGGCAAGGCAGGGTGAGGGGGTGGTGGTGCCTGCCTGGCAACAGGTAACTGAAGAAGAAAGGGCGGTAGCTGGGGGTGACCAGGGATCGCAGAGGTGGAAAGAGGTTCGGAGAGCGGTTGTTGCCGGTTGCTGCCTCCTCTTCCTTGGGTCCCCAACAGCTTGCTCCACCCTCCTGCCTGTCCCATGCCCATCTCTCTGGCTCTCAGGTTCCGTGGAGTCAGAGCTGAAGAAGCTTCTGGCAATACAGCAAGAGTTCTGCCTCTGGAAGATGGGCAGCCAGGAGGGCCGGGAGCTGCTGACCCAGCCAGAGATCACCCTGGAGGAGGTGGGCCAGGTATGCCTGTCCCATCCCAGACCACCAGCCCCCTGCCTGAGGGCACTGGAGAAAGTGGGACTGGAGGCTTCACATCTCCACATGGCACTGGCTCCTGGCTCCAGCCCCCACCACCTGGGTAGGGTAGACATAATCCCTTCTTGGTAGTGGTATTTCTGAGTTCAGGACCCTGTCCCCCAAACACACACACACACACACACACACACACACACA